GCTTCTGTTAAATACGTGTATTTTTTTGCCCTTATTGTTTGTTGGGACTTCAGGACCTAGATCCCTCAGCTGGTCGTTCATTTTTTTTGGTGGAAGCAGCTGAATCCCTCCCTCTTTCCTGCTCTGTTTCATGCTGTTAGGGGTGTGTGTATATGCATGTTTAGTTTTTCTTTTTTCCTTCCTTTCTAGTTGTTGAAGTCCTGCTTATGTATGTGTACTGGCTGATTCTTTTATTTGTTGGCTAAAAGTTTAGCCTGCTTTCTTCTCTTGTATGTAAAAGATTGAAGCTCTCCTCTTCCCCTTCATCGTAAGCCACTTGTTGATCCACAATTGTTGCTATTGTATTTAGCTAAGGTAGTTGCTATTTTTCTTTCTTCTTCGTTTCCTACAGTAGCACCTTACGATCTTCTCCCTCTTCTGGTTGAATTATGACAGCTCCAATCCTCATTGTTGCTATCACAGAATTTTAGAATCCATTAGAAGTGTAGTTTTAGTTAATCTTTGATGTTATTCTATCATGATACTGATCTAAATTTGGTTAATGAAAGTAAAAGCTTGAGAGTTGTTGGAATTGCTTAGTTGTTCATCTCACAATTTTGTCAATGATAAATGCTCTCAAGGTATTTGTAGGAAGGCTTGAAAGAAGTTGATGGAAATGTGATTGTTTAATTTTCATAGTAGAACCTTGAGGAGTTATCTATGCTACCTAAGAAAGTTTATGTTTTTACATAAATTGTAAAGTTGATCTACCTCTTGAAATTGCGCAACATCTAAAGGGAAATTGTTAGAAAAAATGATAATTAATATTTTTTTTAAGTGTGTAATAAGAGTTGTGTTAATGATGGTGGTTAAATGCTAACTAGTGTTATTGATTATTTGGTAGAAGTTGTAGAAGGGTTATTGAAGATTAAGGGATTAATGGGAAATTTTAGGAATTACAAAGATTTTGAATATTGATTTTTGGTTTATTATAAGAAAGGAAATTTATAATGACATAAAATGTATTGGTTTATATGCTAGATTAATTTGAGGTACCATTGTAGTAAGCAAGAATGTAATGACCCTAAAATTTTAAATTGAATAAAATTTTCTCACAATAAAAATTTTATTTAAATAAGTTTTATAACAAGTAGAAGGGGCCAATTTATAAGAATTTATGTTAAAAATTTTCTCAAAGATTCAAGGTAGATTCAAGGTCCAAATTTTTCTGAGCAAAAGTTCAATTTTAAAATTAAAGAAAAATATACACACATCTCTTAAGTCTCTTTTTGAATCTGTCTTCACCAAATGCTTAGAAATCGAATGCCTATGAGGATGATCAGGAAAAGAAACTTTCGTTCTACTGATTTGATCATGAAGAAATTTCACGGAGACCTGATCTGAGTAGACTTTGGGTAGTATGAATCATCAATGATGTTCGAAGGAATTTGACACAATTAGCTGAATGATGTGATTATAGTTGTTCTCTTTGGATACAACATTTGTGTGGAGCAACAATTTTCATTTTAGTGTACAATTTACTGATATTCGGCTGTGCAAATCTGTTGTGCTTCTGTGCAAATAATTTTTCAATCTATGGAAATGCTGACAATATTTAAGTTCTCTTCACCAATGCATGTAAATATTTTAATGTTAAAGGATGGAAATAAATTTTCAATCTGCTTCACTTCTTCTGGGCAATTTCATGCAACTGTCTCTTTTATCAATCTGTTCTGCTTCTTCATGAGTAGTTTAGTGAATTTATCTTCCTCTGCCTTCCTGGACCCAGCCTCTCCCCCCACCAATATAAAAAAAACCCCGCCCCCCCCCCCCCCCCGAGGGGGAGGAAACATCCCTCCTCCATTCAAAAGGAGTGTCTAGTCCCCACCTCTTTATTCGGTGTTGACTGGCAACATTAGGCCATAAAACGGCCAGCCTTCACTAGCATCACTCTCACTTCCTATAACTTAAGGTGCATTTTTTATGCCTGTTTCCTGTGAGTGTTTATCCTACTAAAGATCCTTTTTTGGATTAAGAATTTAACGCAAAAAGAAACAGTTTTGGGAATTTATTGCAAAAAGAGACATTTTTTTAACTATCAAAGAAAATAAAGTGATTTTCTAGGTTTTGTTAGTGCAATCTTTCTCACCCAAAACTTGTTTGTGTTTTTCTTAATTTCTCTTTGTAAAAGTTCAGCTTCTCTCTTCTTGTGGACATGCATGTTTGTTGTGCCCTTTAACCATGAGCAAATTTGCTAGGCTTTGTTAATGAAATTCTTCTTGTTACTGCTTACTTTCTTTCAATTTATTGGTTTAATTTTAACCAATTTTTTTTAGGACTTGCATCAATGATAATTAGGTGCGAAACTTGTTTGTTAGGGCACAAAGAAGCAAGGTAGTAGGCTTATGTCTTGCTACTGAAATAATTTTTTATTTTTACATGTGTAACTTTGAAGGTTTAATGTACATGCACAAGCAAAGAACTGCTCATATTTGGTAGATTGATTTTATTTGATTATTATACATAGAATTATTCATAGTGTCATCTTTTGGAATAAGTCCTACTTTACTTCCTAAACATGTCACTATTGTTGTAAGATCTTAAAAGGACCCACTTAAAGCTCTTGAAATATTCAACTCAGTGAAAAAGGAAGATGGATTTAAGCACACATTATTCACTTATAAATGCATGGTTGAAAAACTTGGATTGCACAGGGAATTTGATGTAAGAACAATGAATATTTATTGATACAGATTAATTGGAGTGATCATTTTGATGTTCTTTAAGTTAAACTGTCAATTTGGTTAAACATTTGAGTAAACTCATTTGTTTTATGATAAACCAATGTAAGTTGTGGGAATATGCATGGGAGATTTTGTAAAATACCTTTATTTAGGTGTTAATTTTTGTAACAAAATATGGCATATCAATACGGTGTTTCCAATTCGAGTAGCATTTTGTAAGACCTGGTTCTTGTTCATATCTTCTATGCAGTCTTCTATGTTTGTTTTGCTTACTTTTATGTGAGGTTCTAAGTTTGTTACAGCATGAGATAGATAATGTGTGCATTGGTACCCTACCCATTTATGATTACAGTAGCCAAAATATGATGAGATACATTGAAATATGAAGAATCTTTTAGGTAGTGTTTGGTATGTGCATTCTTTAGTTTTGCCAAGTACTTGAAACCTATTTAAAAGTTAAGTGTTGTATACATCCCAACAATATATTATTTTGCAATTGTATATATCTCATGATCCATTCATTCATATTATATATATATATATATAGGTTTTAGAGTCCTTAATAATTAGGATGCCTACACTCCAAAAGCTGCTTAACCTAAATGTCTCTCTTCTATTTAGACATTTTTTTAAATCAGAGCATAGGCTTGAAGCGGGGGAGTGCTTTCTAACTTTAGTTCTAATGACATTTAAATGACCTTCAAATGAAAGATGGGGCTATGTTTTAAGCTGAAGTGAAAATATGAAGTTTATGGATTTAATCTTTAAAAGCTAGCTATGTGTGTGTATATTATGTCTGTGTGGTGTGTGTTTCAAAGGATTTCTAGCATTTGTATTGGGATGATATTTGTAATAATGTGGCTTGGGACTGTAATCATTGCGTATACATGTCCTTTAGTTTAGCTTATATGCAATCACAGTGGCTTGATATTTTTAATGCTGACCAATCACAGATGTTCCTCATTTTTGTGATATCCAAATCAATTAAATAGTGTGAAAAGTAAAAGGCAGATAGTAGGACAAAATGGAGGGAATTTGGCTAAATTAAAAGCTGCCACCTTGCATGTTCACTATTCCATGTTAGTGTATATGTATGTGGTGTGTTTTTGGGTGTAACATTTGGCTAAATCTGTTTCATTTGCTTTTGTTGCCAACCAAAAAAAAGTAATTTGCATATGAGACTAAGAAACTATGGACAACAAGAAAGCTAAAACAAAAAAAAAGTCCGGATACGACAACTTCAAGAAAGAGTTTCTTAAAAAAAATGAAGATTCAGTGGTCTTATAGAAGCCAATGACTCAATGAGAGAAAGTTGGCAAAAATTATCAAATGCTGAATAAGAAAGATATAGAAACATGGCTTCGTTGGATGGATGAGGCAAGGAATCAGCATCTTGTTCCACGGCAATGATATCACTCACTTGTATTTATTTTAAGTTAATGAGTTTTTTTAGTATGATTGTTATGCATTGTATGGTGTTATATTATTCCTCTTAGTTTGTAGGTTTCATTTAATACACATTTCCCTCTTAGCTAGTTCAAGGAAGTTGTGGAATACATATCCCAACATAAAAGGTTATATACCAAGGTTAAGAAAATAGGGTTCCAATCTCTCTTGGATTTTAAATTTAATAAACTACCGAGAGAGTTATGTGAACAAGTAATTACTGCTTTTGACACACCAACCTCAACACTTGGAATTAGAGGGAAGAAATTAAGTGTTAATGGAAAGGATGTGCACACTATCTTAGGTGTGCCTTATGATAGGAAAGTTGTTTTTTTAGATGATGACAATGAAGCATCTCAAGCATTAAAGAAGAATTATCTTGGCAAACCCTTCATTGAGTTGAAGAGTATGGTAATATCCGGCAAGGCTGAAAAAATTTTTGAAACGGTGTTTTTGTTATTCACTTTTGAAACATTTCTTTATCCCACAACAAGTACAACTGCTAGTATGAAGAGTATTAATTTGAGTGGGAAGAAAAATGTTCAAGAATATTACTAGTCATCTTTTATGTTGTCAGAGCTTATTAGAGAAATTTTAACTTATAAGACAGTATTAAAGAATAGATAAAGGAAGAAAAATGTAGGAGGATGCTTATTTTTCTTACTGGTATAGACTATTTGAAATCCTTCTATATTTTATTCAAATGTATTTGTTATTGATTAGATTATAATTATCCTTCTGGTGCAGATATTTTACATGCACCACTTTCTATTGGGCCCAACACCGTCAGTAGATGGTGGAACGCCTGTGATGTATTTGTAGAACCAATACATGGTGCAAAAATGGGTTAAGCTGAAAAAAGAAAGCATCCACGACATTCTTTATAGTGATCAGGCTAATGAAGTGTCTAAAGTTTTACCTCCACTTGCAACGATAACTCACCTGGTATATAAATGTTTATAATTTATTATCTATGTTTTGGTTTTCACTTGCTTAATAAGCTTGGTATTGAAACTTGGTTAGGGTGTGAGGGAGATATACAGAGACTTTTTACAATATGCCAACACATTTGCAAGTAAAGTGCTGAAGTTGCAACAAAGTCTTAACCAGCTTCAAATATCTGATAGTAAAGCTATCATATGGGTTGGCGAACCAAGCAAAGAAGAAGTGGAGGAAGAGGAATGTGGAGATAAAAATGAAGTTGAAGAAGATGATGAAGATGGAGACAACAACAAAGATGAAGCTGAAGATGCATATGAAGCTGGGGATGAAGATGAGGATGACGATGGACATGAAACTGCAGCTAGAGCTGGATCTAAAGAAGATGAAGATGAAGGCTCCGATAGTAAGGAAGAAAGTGATGAAAGACAAGATGCTAAGAAGAGGAGGAGAACAGATGAAAGCCCAATGATTTGAAGGTCTGAGAGGAAAAGGGTTGAGGTAAATTGGTCACCTTTTTTGAAAGAACCAATACAAGGAAGAATTACAAATGAACAATAAATATATGAATATTACACTAGGCGGACCAATCAAGCAGAGGGTGAAGAGTAAGTAATATGATATTACTTTTTGATAATCATGGTGCATTATGATTGATATAATAACACTTTCTTTAGTAGGAACCTCGTTGAGATGTACGATTACTACTTAACTAGGGCCGAATGCTAAAGTCTTGGTACTAAAAAATGGATAAGTATAGCGGTATGTCTGATAGTTTTAATTAATTAGTTGCTTAATTGGATAGCACATTGAGTATTGGATGTGATCCTTGTAGGTTATGAGCATGGTCACAAAAGTGATGGTTGGTGAGCAATTTCGTGAAGGGAAGGTGCAGAGGTACATATTTGATTCAAGATTTATGGCCAACCTAGGGGATAAAAAGTTAAGATGGTCTGTCTTTGAGGATGCAAAGATGCTCATGTCAGATCAACTTGGATATAACCTTAGAAATTATGATTACCTCTTCTTGCCCATGCTTGTGTTCAATCACTGGTTTTGTTATTGTGCTGATTTGAAAATGAAAAATTTTTCATCCTTGATTCATTGGCTAGGAAGTTATTTAAAGAGAAGAAGATGATGGCCGAATTTATGGTATTCCTTATTAGTGCTTTTGTATAACTACTTTAGGTTACTTAAATTTTTAGATAGGAATGGTTATCTAACTCTAAAACTATTTATAGAGAACTAGCATAATTGAGTTGTTATAAGCATGTGACCCGAAGAAATATGGAGAGGATTTTCAAATGGAGATGATATTTGAAGAACTTCCCAAACAGAGTAATGTATAAGTAACTATCTATAAAAACAACTACCTTTTAATGTATTCATTTCTAGTAGACAATTTGCCTTACCTTAGTTGCTCATATTTATAGAGATGATTATGGGGTATATATGATAAAGTATTGTGCAGAATGGGATGGTAGAAGAAGAAAAGGAGGACTGACCATAGAGGACTTTTCAAACATATGTATATGTGATCCATAATCTTTCTAAGTTTTTTCTTCCAATTATCAATATGAAACTTAAACTTTCTTTACATTTTTTTAGGAACAACTGAGATAGTTTAAGGTGGATATGGTGTGGTGGCTGGTAAATCACACAAGAAATGAAGTGAGAAATGAAGTATTTGCCTCTGTCTCAGCAGCTAATCGACCAAAGAGGGCAAGAAAGAAGTGTAGATGAATTTTTAATCTGTGACATGTTTTCATCATTAATCTTTAATGGGTGTATGCATTTGCCTCGCTGAAGGTCCTGTTCCTCATCAATGTTCACCATTCTGATTTTGTAGAAATTGCCTCTTCTTTAATTTTTTTTCCCTTAAGTGTTTTAGTTGAAGGTGGACTATGTAATTTGTACAAGTGAGGATATGCTCAATTGAATTTGAAGCTGTATCCAAATTTTAGGGCTTATAAGAATATTTTTACCAATACATTGCAGGGAGTATAAGAATAGAATTTTTGGCTGCAAAATTAGGCTGGCCTTTGTGGGATATGCTTGATTAATTTTGCATCCAAAACATGTTATTTGATCAAAATTTGGTCACATGCATGCATTTTACCTAACTAAATTATGATTTTGTCTGAACAAGATTGCTAACACCTCCATTTGGATTTTATATCACAGGTACTAATTAATACTTATTATTTTCAACAAATTAAAATAACATGTATTTCCTGCCAATTGATACAGCCGAGCTGCTACTTATATTACTTTAATCATATGGTGATACAATTCAATATAACAAATGAATCATGGAATTTTCTAAATAAAACACTCTTTGTGACAATCAAGCAAGCTGAACAAGCAACCAAATCAATTATATATAGCCAATGTCGCAACTGTGTATCAAAATTTTGGGTGGGGTAAGTAATGAATTCTCAAGAAAGTTATTATTCTAGGACAAAGCTCTAACAATTTGCAATTGAGAGACTAAATTTTCCAACTTCCTTAGGCAAAATTGGCAACCGGAACTCGAAATTTAGGATTGAAAAACTATTAAATTCGTAGAAGAGTTAATTTTTTTAGGACAAAGCTCCAATAATTTGCAAGTGAGAAAATAAATTTTGCAATGTCCTTACAAACAATTTGCAACTGGTACTCAAAATTTTGAATTGAAGAACTATTAAACTCGTAGAAGAGTTAAATCCTTTAGAATAAAGCTCCAGTAATTTATAACTAAGAAACTGAATTTTGCAATTTCCTTAAGAAAAATTTGCTGCTCATACTCGAAATGTTGGATCGAACAACTATTAAATTCGTTGAAGAGTTAAATCCTTTACGACAAAGATCCAGTAATTTACAAGTGAGAAACTAAATTTTGCAATGTCCTTACAAACAATTTGCAACGGGCACTCAAAATTTTAGATCGAAGAACTATTAAATTTGTTGAAGAGTTAAATTCTTTAGAACATAGCTCCAGTCATTTGCAAGTGAGAAGCCAAATTTTGCAATGTCCTTAGAAATAATTTGCAACTTATATTTCAAATTTTGAATTGAAGAACTATTAAATTCATTGAAGAGTTAAATCCTTTATGACAAAGCTCCAGTAATTTATAACTAAGAAACTGAATTTTGCAATTTCCTTAGGAAAAATTTGCAACTCGTACTCAAAATGTTGGATCGAAGAACTATTAAATTCATTGAAGAGTTAAATCCTTTACAATAAAGCTCCAGTAATTTGCAAGTGAGAAATCAAATTTTGCAATGTCCTTACAAAAAATTTGCAACGGGCACTCAAAATTTTGGATCGAAGAACTATTAAATTTGTTGAAGAGTTAAATCCTTTAGAACATAGCTCCAGTCATTTGCAAGTGAGAAGCCAAATTTTGCAATGTCCTTAGAAATAATTTGCAACTTATATTCCAAATTTTGAATTGAAGAACTATTAAATTTGTTGAAGAGTTAAATCCTTTACGACAAAGCTCCAGTAATTTATAACTAAGAAACTGAATTTTGCAATTTCCTTAGGAAAAATTTGCAACTCGTACTCGAAATGTTGGATCGAAGAACTATTAAATTCGTTGAAGAGTTAAATCCTTTACGACAAAGCTCCAGTAATTTGCAAGTGAGAAACCAAATTTTGCAATGTCCTTACAAACAATTTGCAATGGGCACTCAAAATTTTGGATCGAAGAACTATTAAATTTATTGAAGAGTTAAATCCTTTAGAACAAAGCTCCAGTAATTTGCAAGTGAGAAGCCAAATTTTGCAATGTCCTTAGAAATAATTTGTAACTTATATTCCAAATTTTGAATTGAAGAACTATTAAATTTGTAGAAGAGTTAAATCCTTTATGACAAAGCTCCAGTAATTTATAACTAAGAAACTGAATTTTGCAATTTCCTTAAGAAAAATTTGCAACTCGTACTCGAAATGTTGGGTCGAAGAACTGTTAAATTCATTGAAGAGTTAAATCCTTTACGACAAAGCTCCAGTAATTTACAAGTGAGAAACCAAATTTTGCAATGTCCTTACAAATAATTTGCAACAGGCACTTGAAATTTTGGATCGAAGAACTATTAAATTTGTTGAATAGTGAAATCCTTTAAAACAAAGCTCCAGTAATTTGCAAGTGAGAAGCCAAATTTTGCAATGTCCTTAGAAATAATTTGCAACTTATATTCCAAATTTTGAATTGAAGAACTATTAAATTTGTAGAAGAGTTAAATCCTTTACAACAAAGCTCCAGTAATTTATAACTAAGAAACTTAATTTTGCAATTTCCTTAGGAAAAATTTACAACTCATACTCGAAATGTTGGACCGAAGAACTATTAAATTCGTTCAAGAGTTAAATCCTTTACGACATAGCTCCAGTAATTTGCAAGTGAGAAACCAAATTTTGTAACTTGCTTAGGAGAAATTTGCAACTCGTACTCCAAATTTTAGATCAAAGAACTATTTAATTCTTACAAGAGTTAAATCCTTTAGGATATTGTTCCAGTATTTTGCAACTGAGACACCAAAGTTTGCAACTTCATTAGGAAAAATTTGCAACTCGTACACGAAATTGTGGATCGAAGAATTATTATATTCTTGCAAGAGTTATTCTTTCAAGATAATGTTCCAATATTTGGCAACTAACACACCAACCTTTGCAACTTCCTTAGGAAGCATTTGTAACCCGTACTCAAAATTTTGGATCGAAGAACTATTAAATTCTTATAAGAGTTAAATCTTTTAGGACATCGTTCCAGTATTTTGTAATTTAGACACCAAATTTTGCAACTTCCTTACAAAAAATTGGCAACTCATACATGAAATTTTAGATCGACAAACTATAAGATATGAACTGTACATGTAAGAAACATGTACTAATTCATCTAATGCATCTGCACATTTTAGTTGTCCACATACATAAAGGCATGAACTTAGATTTACAAACGAAGGGTTGCTATGTACCAAAAAAACCCCTAATACTACCAATATATATCTACATAAACCTATACATGTCAACCAAATCCAAGTTGATCTAATCTCATGTTATAGAAACATCAACTTAGATTTACAAAATAGGGGCTGCTATATGCCAAAAAAAAACCCTAAAACAACCATTATGTTTATGTCACCTAAATCCAAGTTCATGTGGTAACCCATTTACAATAACATCAACTTGGATTTGGATTTCTACACCTCTTTCACGTATGACCTGCTTCATGACAGCGAGAACAATGATAAACCTTCTTTTTTTATGTTGAGACTCGATCCTCACACGACGAGGTCTGCCAGCTGGTCGAGATGTTCTAGGAGGCAGTAAAAAGATTTGGTTCATAAGCTAAGACACTGTCAACACATTTAGCTTTGGCATGTCATGGGTCTCAACAGGATACATAGTGCCACTGTATATTTTCTCCTGTGAGCTATGAAGATAACATTCCTCAACATAGTTATACACATTACCATGCACTTCTTTAATG